ATAGTTTAATACAATTGTATTGAATTTACAGATTAATTTGGAGGGAACTAATATCTTTATAATATTGATTCTTCTCATCTAGAGACATACATATAGCTCTCTTTAAAGTCCTTTAGTATAGTTCTAGAGTTTTAAACATATAGGCCTTGCTCCTTTCTTGCTAAGCTTATTCCCCCACTGTATTTCTAACTGTTTATTGCTGGTATATAGGGAAGTTGTTGGGTTTTGTATATTTATCTTGTACCCAGACACTTTTTAAAGGCTAATTAATTCAAATATTCTTTATATTGACTTTTTTTTTTTTCTGTTTTTCTGGGTAATTATAATAATTGTGATTTTTCAGTTTCCTTTTAGTAGATAAGCCTCTTGAATTTGTTCTCATTTTCTCACCTGAATCAGGACCTACAGTGACAGCAAGAATCCTTTCTCCTCTCTTAAATGGGACTCCAGTATGTCCCCATTAATTATGTTTGCTCTAGATTTCTAATCAATACCGCTGTCAAACAAATGAAGTTTCCTAAGTAAAGAAGTCTTCATTTTACAATTAGTGTATTACCTTTCTTTCCTTTGGGACACACTTTAACAGGCATGCCTTTTATATTTTCATTCAAAAAACTGACAAGCTACTACACATGGCAGGACCTATTACAGAAAGCTAATGTAGCACTTTGGAGATCTCCACGGAGAACCTAGTGACCTGGTACCAATGGGCCTTTGAAGCTACCCAAATGGGCCACTTTTTTAATCTATTGAGGGTCATAATTCACTGTTAATATCCATAAGCCCCAGATGCGGAAGTAGGCAAATTACAAGTGCGCATTTTTTAAATATACAATATTGTGAGGACTTCCAGGAAGACAGCGGTGTAATCAGGTCTACGAACCCACACAAGCACCAAGAAAAGCAACAAAAGATTTGTAATCTCAACTCTGTAAGAACTTTCAAAAGTAACTAGAGGGTTGCAGCAACTAACCAGATGCTGCAACAAGAAAAAGGTGACTTTTAAATTGTAGAAAAACTTTCTTTTCTACTGTCTCTGCCCCTCCCCCTTCTTGTGTAACAGCCACAGCACAGCAGTAGCTGCAGAAGTGAACCATGATTCGTGTTCTTAGAGAGGGGGCCCAATCTCTGGCTCTGGAGTAAGCAGGACAGACTTTGCTGGCAGACTGTTAAATGTATCTGTTATTATCTGTCTGGGAGTTGCCTGAAGGACTGAAGCCTCAGTCTAATCTGAATTGGAGCTCACACAAGGTAAGGAGGGAGTGGTGAGGAAAGACTGAGGCTGTGACTACACTTAATTCCCTGGGACTAAATGGTATGACTGAAGCAGACAATTAACTCCTAAGATCTAAAGGAAAAACCAGAATGACAGTTTCTTGCAGAAATTAGTGCTTCAAAAAGCATTGTGTATATAGCGGAAATGAGAAAGCCACTCACATGCTCAGCGCTAACACACTGTAATAGTCTAATATGCCAGAGTTAGCAAAATATCAAAAGCATACAAAGACACTAAAACTGCATGCAAAATAACAAGATAAAGAGATAGAAATCACCTCTATGGAAGCACAGATAAGGACAGACTAGAAAACTTTAAAACAATAGTTTTAAATATGCTCAAAGAACTATAGCAGAACACAGACAAAGAAAGGAAAACAGAAAAATGATACATGAACAAAATGAGAATATCAATAAAGAAACAGTATAAAAAGGAGCCAAACAGAATTACTGGAGGTGAAAAATACAATAATTTAAATGAAAAAATTTAATGGAGGGGCTCAACAGCAGATCTGAGCTGGTAGAACAAAGAATCAGTGAACTAGAGGACAAAACAATTAAAATTATTGACTCCGAAAACAAAAAGGAAGAAGAAAAGTGAACAAAGTCTAATGCAACTGTGGAACATCATCAAGCAAACTAACATGTATCAGGGGAATCCCAGAAGAAAAGAGAAAGGGATAGAAATAATATTTGGAAAAAAAAAAAAAAACAGTAGAAAAGTATGGGATCATGTGATGTGGCAAAAGGAGTCAAGCCATTTCTTTTAGCTAGAAAATCAATCAATGTAATACGCCACATTAATAGAATGAAAGAAAAGAACCACAGGATAATCTCAATTAATGCAGAAAAGACATTTGACAAAATCCAACACCCTATCATGATAAAAACACTCAACAAACTTAGGAATAGATGGGAAAATCCTCAATATGATAAAGTATATTTACAAAATACCTGCAGATAATATACTCATTGGAGAAAAACTGAAAGCTTTCCCCTTAAAATCAAGAACAAAACATGGACGCCTACTACTATTATTCAACACTGTACTGGAAGTGACAACTAGGGCAATTAGGCAAGAAAAAAATAGAAGCTATCTTCAGAAAGAAAGAAGTAAAACTATCCCTATTCATAGATGACACAATCTTATATACAGAAAATCCCAAAATATCCCCAAGAAAGCTAATAAATGAGTTTAGAAAAGTGGAAGAGTACATGGTCAACACACAAAAACCTGCTGTGTTTCTAAGCACCAACAATAACCAATCTAAAAAAGAAATTAAGAAAAAATTCCATTTACAATAGCATCTAAAAGAATAAAATACCTAGAAGTAAATTGAACAAAGGAGATAAAAGACTTGTACACGTAAAACTATAAAACATTGCTGAAATAAGTTAAAGAAGACCTAAATAAATGGAAAGACATCCTGTGTTCATGGATTGGAAGATTTAATATTGCTAAGATGTCAATACTATCCAAGTGATCTACAGATTCAGTGCAATCTCTATCAAAATTCTAATAGCCTTTTTTGCAGAAATGGAAACACTAATCCTCAAATGTATATGGAACTACAAAGGGCCCCAAATAGCTACAGCAATCTTAAAAAAGTCCAAGTAGGAGGAATCATACTTTCCAATTTCAAAACATACTATAAAGCTACGCTAAAGAAAACAGTCTGGCGCTGGTATAAGGACTGCCATATAGATCAAAGAATACAATTGAGGGTCGAAAAATAAACCTATGAATCTATGGTCAACTGATTTCTGACCGGGGTGCTAAAACCATTCAGTGGGAAAAGAATAGTCTCTTCAATAAATGGTGCTGGGACAACTGTATCTTCACATGCTAAAGAATGAAGTTGGACACATACCACGCACCATATATGAAAAATTAACTCAGAATGGATCAATGACCTAAATTAAAGAATTAAAACCATAAAACTGTTAGAACAAAACATAGGGGTAATGCTTCAGGAACTAGTTTTCAACAATGGATTATTAGATATGATGACACGAAAAGCATGAGGAACAAGAGACAAAACAGATAAACTGGACTTCATCAAAATTAAAAACTTTTGTGCATCAAAGGACTTTATCAACAAAGTGAAGAGACAACCTACAGAATAGGAGAAAATATTTGGGAATCATGTATCTGATAAGGGTTTAGTATCCAGACTATATAAAGAAGTCCTACAACTCAACAACAAAAAGACAATCAAAAAAATGGGCAAAGGACTTGAATAAACATTGCATAAAAGAAGATTCACAAATGGCCAATAAGCACATGGAAAGATGCTCAAGATCATTAGCCATTAGCGTAATGCAAATCAAAACCATAGTGAGATACCTCTCCACCTCCCCACCCCAGGACAGCTTATATAAAGAAAATGGAAGGTAACAAGTGTTGGTTAGGATGCAGAGGAATTGGAACCTCTTGCATTGCTGATGGGATTGTAAAATGGTGCAGTCAATGTGGAAAACAGTTTGGTGGTTCCTCCCAACCAAACCAAACCCGTTGCCACTGAGTCAATTCTGACTCATAACGACCCTACCGGACAGAGTAGAACTGCCCCATATGGTTTCCAAGGAGCACTTGGTGGATTCGAACTGCCAACCTTCTGGTTAGCAGCCGTAGCTCTTAACCACTACGCCACCAGAGTTTCCAGAATTAACATATGACCCAGAAATTTCACTCCTAAGTATATATCCAAAAAAAATTGAAAGTGGGAACTCAAACAGATACTTGTACACCAACGTTCACTGCAGCAATATTCAGAATAGCCAAAAGATGGAAACAACCTAAGTGCCCATCAACAGATAAAAGGATAAACAAAATGTGTTATATGCATAACATGGAGTATTATTCAGCCATAAAAAGAAATGAAGTTCTGATATATGTTATGACATAGCTGAACCTTGAAAACACTATGCTGAGTAAAATAAGTCAGACACAAAAGGACAAATATTGTAAGATCCCACCTATATGAAATATCTAGAATAGACAAATTAACAGAGACAAAAGTTTCTTAGTGGTTACCAGAGATGGGTGTGAGGAGGAAAGGGGAAGTTATTGCTTAAGGGGCACTGAGTTTCTGTTAAGGGTAAGGAATAAATTTTGAAATGGATAGCGGTGAGGGTCGCACAACATAGCAAACAAAATTAATGTCCCTGTATTGTACACATAAAAATGGTTGAAATGGCAAATGTTTCGTTATGTATATTTTGCCACAATAAAATATAGGATACTATGGAACTTTGCTATTTCCCTAAAGCATTACTATTATTGTCTGCAGGGCACCATAATTCAGTTCATTTGTCATACTGGTTATCAAGGCAATAGAACAAAAGTGTAAAATCCAATGATCCTAAAAGTTAACATTATGTGAAAAAATAAGAACAATATTCCCTAGTTTATTACTAGTATTAAATTAAGGTTTAAAATTCTAACATGTTCACAAACAATAGAAAAAGAATTCTTGTTTATACTTAAGTAGTTCTCATGGGAAAAACAGTCCTTAACTGGGCAATAGCCAGGTAACTAGGCAATAGAGAAAATAAAAACAAAACCTCTTTTGTTTTGAAGAAAATTTTACTTTTCCTTTTCAAGGCCCATAATAGTTATATTATTTGCCAATTATACATATATCTTCATTTTTTAAAGTTTTTTTCTAGACTATTTATCTAGCCAAAAAAGAAGTTTGAGTTATGAGTCCAGCTGAACCAACCTTTAGAGCCAATTGATACGTGGCTGAACTCCAGATATCTCTTTCTGTCATTAATTGTTTAATATCATTCTCCATCCTTCCTCTTTGCAATGTGTATAAATCATGGTATTCTTCTACAATTCTAAAAGAAAATTAATAATCAACTATATATACAGGTATTTTTAAAATAATTTTAAAATTTAAAATTTTAGAATTCTAAAATAGACAATTTGTTCCCTTAGAATTTACCATAGGTAATTATGATATAATTTCTGGATATATTGATAACATTTTATACATGGTGAAATAGAAAAAGAAATTCACATTTCATTTATAAATCTTACAAAACTCTTAGTAAAAGTAAAAAGTTCAATGTATTGTTTCCTGCTTTAAACAGAGAACATAATATAGTATCCCAAAAGTATAATAATACTATATCTAATGAAAATGAAATGGACTGGTATTAGCCATTTTGAATCAGACAATCATATAGTCTACTATGGCAGGAATGACAAACTGAAGAGGAATGGCATTGCATTCATCGTCAAAAAGAACACTTCGAGATCCATCCTGAAGTACAATGCTGTCAGTGTTAGGATAATATCCATATAGCTACAAGGAAGACTAGTTAAAAGGACTATTATTCAAATTTACACATCTACCACTAATACTAAAAATGAGGAAATTGAAGATTTTTACCAACTTCTGCAGTCTGAAATTAATCAAATATGCAATTAAGATTCACTGACAATTATTAGTGAATGGAATGCAAAAGTTGGAAATGAAGAAGGATCACTAGTTGGAAAATGTGGCCTTGGTGATAGAAACGACACTGGAGATTGCATGATAGAATTTTGCAAGACCAACGACGTATTCATTAAAAATACCCTTTTTCAACAACATACATAGCAACTATACATGTGGACCTCACCAGATGGAAAACACAGGAATCAAATTGACTACATCGGTGGAAAGAGACGATGGAAAAGCTCAACATCATCTGTCAGAACAAGGCCAGGGGCTGCTGCAGAACAGATCATCAAACTGCTCATGTGCAAATTCAAGTTGAAGCTGAAAAAAAATTACGTCCAAGAGAGCCAAAATACGACCTTGAGTATATCCCATCTGAACTTTGAGACCATCTCAAGAATAGATTTGATGCATTGAAACTAATGACCGAAGATCAGACAGGTTGTAGAATGACATCAAGACCATCATATATGATGAAAGCAAATGGTCATTAAAAAGACAGGAAAGAAAGAAAAGACCAAAATGGATGTCAAACAGACCCTGAAACTTGCTCTTGAACAGAGTAGCTAAAGTGAATGGAAGAAATTATGAAGTAAAAGAGCTGAACAGAAGATTTCAAAGGCAGCACGAGAAGACAAAGTAAATTATAATGAAATGTGATAAGACCTGGAGTTAGAAAACCAAAAGGGAAGAACATTTTTCAAGCTGAAAAAACTGAAGAAAAACTCAGGCCTTGAACTGCAATTTTGAAGGATTCTATGGGCAAAATTTTGAATGATGCAGGAAGCATCAAAAGAAGATGGAAGGAATACAAAGTCACTGTACCGAAAAGAATTGGTCGACATTCAACCATTTCAGGAGGTAACATATGAACAAGAACCAATGGTATTGAAGTAAGAAGTCCAAGCTGCACTGGAAACACTGGTGAAAAACAAGGCTCCAGGAATTGATAAAATACCAATTGAGATGTTTCAACAAATGGATGCAGCTTGTCTATGCCAATATCAATAAATGTGGAAGACAGCTACCTGGCCAACAAACTGGAAGAGATCCGTATGTGTGCCCATTCTAAAGAAAGGTGACCCAGAAAAACACAGAAATTATTGAACAATATCATTAATATCACACACAAGTAAAATTTTGCTGAAGATCATTCAAAAGCGGTTGCAGCAGAACATCAACAAACTGTCAGAAATTCAAGCTGGACGCCAAAGAGGACATGGAATGAGGGCCATCATTGCTGATGTCAAATGGATCTTGGCTGAAAGCAGAGGAATACCAGAAAGATATTTACCTGTGTTTTACTGACTATGTAAGGGCATTTGACTGTGTGATCATAACAAATTATGGATAACGTTGTGAAGAATGGGAATTCCAGAACACTTGATTACTCTCATGTGGAACCTGTACACAGACCAAGAGGCAGTCGCTCGAACAGCGTAAGGGGATACTGCATGGTGCAAAATCAAGAAAGGTGTGCGTCACGGTGTCTCTTTTCACCACACTTATTCAACCTGTATGCTGAGCAAATAATCCGAGAAGCTGGACAATATGAAGAAGAATGTAGCATCAGAATTATATGCACGTGACACAACCTTGTTTGCTGAAAGCAAAGAGGACTAGAAGCACTTACTGATGAAGATCAAAGACTATCACCCGCAGTATGGATTACACCTCAACATAAAGAAAACAAAAATCCTCACAACTAGACCAATAAACAACATCATGATAAACAGAGAAAAGATTGAAGTTGTCAAGGATTTCATTTTACTTGGATCCACAATCGACGCTCATGGAAGCAGCAGTCAAGAAATCAAACAACGTATTGCATTGGGCAAATCTGCTCTTTAAAGTACTAAAAAGCAAAGATGTCACTTTGAGGACCAAGGTGTGCTGACCCAAGCTATGGTGTTTTCAGTTGCCTCATATGCATGTGAAAGCTGGACAATGAATAAGGAAGACTGAAGAATTGATGCCTGTGAATTATGGTGTTGGTGTAGAATACTGAATATACCATGGACTGCCAGAAGAATGAACAAGTCTGTCTTGGAAGAAATACAGCCAGAGTGCTCCTTGGAAGTGAGAAAGGCAAGACTTCATCTCTCGTACTTTGGACATGTTATAAAGAGGGGCCAGTCCCTGGAGAAGAACATTATGCTTGGTAGAGGGTCAGTGAAAAAGAGGAAGATTCTGCCCGGCTACCACTACTGACTGCTCTGACCGGGATCACAAGACAGGGTTCTGGACAGAGCTGGAGAAGGATGTAGAACAAAACTCTAACACACAAAAAAAGACCAGATTTACTGGCCTGACAGAGACTGGACAAACCCGAGAGTATGGCCCCCAGACACCCTTTTAGCTCAATGGTGAAGTCACTTCAAAGGTTCACCGTTCAGCCGGAGATTGGACAGCCCCATAAAACAAAATGGGACTAAGGAGGCACTGCAGTCCAGGGACAAGGACTAGAAGGCAGGAGGGAACAGGAAAACTGGTGATAGGGAACCCAAGGTTGAGTAAGGACAGTGTTGACATGTAGTGGGGTTCTTAACCATTGTCATAGAGTAATGTGTGTACTAACTGTTTAATGAGAAACTATTTTGTTCTGTAAACCTTCATCTAAAGTGAGAACAGCAGCACAACTGGAAGAATGTAATCAACGTCACTAAATTGCAAATGTGGAAATTTTTTGAAATGGTGTATCTTTGGCTATGTATATTTTCACCAAAAAAAAAAGGTCCTCCAAGCCTCTAAGGCTGAGAAGGGAGTGTGTTGACATGTCGTGGGGTTGTTAACCAATGTCATAAAACAATATGTGTACTGACTGTTTAATGAGAAAATATTTGTTCTGTAAACCTTAACCTAAAGTACAATTTAAAAAAAAAAGAGGAAGATTCTCAACAAGATGGATTAACACAGTGGCTGCAACAACAGGTTCAAACATAACAACGATTGTGAGGATGGCGCAGGACCAGGCAGTGTTTCATTCTGTTGTACACAAGGTTGCTATGAGTCAGAACAAACTCGATGACACCTAACAACAACAACAATGAAAATTTTAGAATACAGGTGGCAGTAATAAAAGTTTTATTGTTAAGATTTTTCTCATAGAATTAGCATTTTTATTAAAAACACAAGGCACAATAATTGTGAGCCACTATATTTTTAAATTATATATAATTAGAACAAGATTTTTAAAAATTCTCTCCCAACCACCCAAAAACTTAAGTACAATTATCTTTCTCTTGATTATTTTTTCTTCGTGTCTACCAGAACATACCTTTTCCTTCTAACTTACCTTGAAGTTTTTTTTAGAACCAAGAGCTGTTTGGAGATTAAATAAAAGCACAAAAGTTGTAAGTGACCGATAACATTTCACCAATCTTTGAAACACTCCCTTATCAGGGATGTTAACTTTAAGAATTAAAGACCAGTGACACAGAATTGTTTTGATCTTGGTGAAAGTCAGGAACCACCAAGTACAAGTTCCCGAAGCCTCATTCTATTTGGAGGCTTCCACTTACTCAAAATAATTGCGAAGAAATTAACCACCCTAGGTTTCACAAATGTGAATGTGTGAAAACCCATTTTACTTAGGTGAATTACATATAAAAATCCATTGAGCTATACCCTTAAGATCTGTGCACTTTACTGTATAAAAGCTAGATCTCAATTTAAAAAATTAATGATCTTAGTTTATAAAAGCAATAGAAAAAATGTTTCAGAAACAATTTCAATGTTCAACAAAAAAAAATTATCCAAATAAAATATGATGTAGCTTTACAGTGAAAATACTGTACAGCTAATTAAAGATCGTGTTCTCAATACTTTGGTTCATGGGTAAATTTTCATGTTAATATAAAATGAAAAAAAAATCAAATGATAAAATTATATACACAGTTTGATACTTCTATAAAAAATACATGGAGAAAAAGAAGGAAATAAGTCAATATACTAATAGTAGTTAATTCTAGGAAAAGGAATTGTGGATTCTCCTTATTTTATTATTTCTATGTGTCTGTATTTCTCAATTTTTCAATAAAATAGTTATTATCAGAAAACAATTACTATTAAAAATTTCTAACCATAAGAACAAACCATCCTACTTTAGAACCATCAATTTTAAAGAAAATAAGGTTTCTTTCCCCCTTTCCCTCTCGTCTTCTGTGGTTTTAGAGGATGTTTTGCTCTTATAATCGACATTTGCACAAAAGGAATTCCAGCTTATTTTCTGATTCATTAAACAAGTAACTGTTTAATGACAACTATGTGCCAGGTCCTGGAACCCTGGCGGCACAGTGGTTAAAGCACTCAGCTGCTAACCAAAAGGTTGGTGGTTCAAATCCACCAGCTGCTCCATGAAAGAAAGATGTGGCAGTCTGCTTCTGTACAGAT